TAAGTTTCATTAAACCTCACTTCCTATTTTATTCATGAATACTTAAACGGGGGTATATAATATGATTTAAAGGTTTGTACGCTCTATGCACTCCGTTCAGTATACTGTACGTGTAATGATGCACTACTGCAATACGACTAGTAGTGTGACCCTGTAACGCAAGAGAACCCAAGCGCTGGGTCACGGAATGACCCGGAGTTGCGCGTTAATAAAGCCGGACTGACTGAAGAGCGCACTCAGGAGACGAGATGCGGGCTGTTTGCTGACAGGAGAGCTGAGTGCACTTACTGTAGCACGCAGGCTGACGTGGTTCAGAGGCAAGGTGAGTTGGGGGGCACAGGGAAAATCTAGTACCCACAATTGAAGTCTAAATGTAAATCCAAAAGCCAGGTAGACACAGGGAGATGAGAAGCCGTGGGGAAGAGAGGTCGAGAACACAAACCAGGGCCAGAGCTGAGAAGAGCACTGCAGACAAGCAAAGCCTAGGGGTGATCTGAGAACCGGGGTACCAAACCAGCCCAGATCAGACGTCCAAACGAGCACAGGCAGCGGGAACAGCTAGGAATACACTCGAGTCAAAGCTCAGGAGCAGGGCATGGGGGGGCTCGGAGTCCAAACTCATTGTTAGAGGGCTTTTTTCCAACTTTTCTATGTTAAAAGGATAGAACAAGAAACGCCTTAGATTATGCCTTCACTTTTTAAAAACACTGACACAACTATGAATGTCTATGACATGCTAGTTAAACCTTTTTTTAATTAAAGTGTTTCCTAATGTTCCCTTTTTAAGATTAAAATGTCAATTCCCGGGGTTAGGTCGAGATATCGGAGTTTTGCTTTTACTATTCACAGAAACACATAAACAAAAAATACACTAATAATCAACTGTTATTCGAATGGAAAAGACCCCCTTCCCGCTGGGCAGACTGAAAAGGCAATTTGCATTTGCGGTAAAAACAAAACAATTAACTTTAAGTGTCGATGCTTTCATACAGTAAATCGAGAGGAGTAGTTATATAAAAGCGGAACAGTACTGAGCTTTCTCGTATTAAGTAAAATATTAAGTACGTTCACTATTCAGTCTTACTAACGTATAGCTAAACTGTGGGAAGAAGTGCCTCCCCACGTAAAGATCCTCGTTCTCGACGTTAGTTTACGTATAAATTTCTTGCAGACAGGGTTACAGTACGTGACTCATCAAAAAAAAAAAGAGGAAGGTGCCATATCTCAGGATTGAAAGCAGATCAGACACTGCTTTCAACGGCACCGACAAGCCCAAACATACAGTACAGTTGCACCAGAGACCCGGTCAGCTTTCCTGTGGGGCTGAGTGACGTCCCTCCCTCAAGAACCGGACGCAGTGAGAGCTGGGAACAAAAGCAGCACAAACACTACTTTCAATAACACAAAGAAATGTGGAGCTTTACATTCTTTGTGCTGTTTGTAGGGTGGCCAGCCTCATGGAGCTGTATTATGAACATGTGGCTAATTAATATTGATGGGTATGAATATTAATTAGCACTTACCATTTGATGAATCTTAGTGAGGCAGAACTCACTAAGGATCAACTTTCTAAGATGCTCACATACATCAGTTCTGCTGGGCACAGTATAACTGTCACACTGAAGCAGGTACTCATGGCAGCTAACTTATAGACCAGGGTGACAAGCCCTGTTCCTGGAAAGTCACGGTACAGTAGAGCCTATATAGATTACCTTTAAATCGTCATATTGCAAAGACATTTGAGTTATTTATCACTTTATGGTAATTGGTACACTTAAGTGAGGAATGTCCCAACTGTGAGCCATTGGTCTCAAGGTGGTCACTAAATAGCTTCATTGTACATCTCACATTGAAAGTGCAGAGAATGAAATTGTTTCTGCATGTGCAATATGAGAAATTGGAGTCCCCCCCCCTCCCCAGCTGTGTGTCCATTTTCTGTGTGTGTCTTGGTAGAAAATAACGCACCGGTATTTGTCTGTCCTGTGTCTCCACTGCTTCAGATGACATTGTAATGAGGTGAACCTCCACTTCTATAATTTAATGTTTGATGGATTGTGTATTCCAACACAACTGGGTTTCATTACATTTCCGTAATAACAGAGAGCAGAGAAATCTGGCAGCAAGCACAGCCATTTATTATATATTATTTTATTTATTACCTTGTCTTTCAGTGAGAGTTCCATCACTGCCCGAAGTCCAAAACTTCAGAATGTGTTTCCACACGTTGTCTGTAATTAAATACAGCATCTTTAGAATACTTCCAAACAAATTGAAATAAACTGTCTTAGCTCTTCTATACTTACAGTATGGAAAATGTATAGTCAAATTTCGGTCATTTGACTGAAAACAATAACAGAAGAGTAAAACACTGCATTTGTTTTAACCCAGTACTGTGATGCAAAACAAAATTCATAAAAAGAAAAGTAAAGAAAAAAGGATTTTAGTCTAAATGTACATTTGTCTTATTTGTTATAATTGTGTGTTTTGTATTGATTTGTGTGCTTTCCTTTTCTGTTTTAAAGAGGCTTGACTTAAAGCTTTAAATATCACTTTCATTTTAGAAGAAGTGAATCACCTTCTCATGAAGAGCAGCAGTGCTGAAAGAGAGATTCAGCTTTGGCATAAAACAGACAGGTTTTGTTTGTGGCTCTGGGGAGGGAGAGGTCAAAGTATTTATAGCAAGAAATCAATGAAACACTTTATATCTTAAAGTTGTGTTAAACTTCATTCTAATGGAGATAAGGTACTTTTTTTAGGCATAACCTAATAGGTATTAATTACCCATTTACTTGAAAGTAGCAAATAAAATACAGATGTCTTACGAGCACTGCTTAATAATAATAATAATAATGATGATATTGCACCTTTCAAAGTGGCTTCTCAAAGTGCCTTACAGTTTACATTGCATATATGGTACATTACCTGATGGTTTTTTAAGGGCTTACTTCCAACTAGTTTATTAGTCATAAATACCCTTGCATTAAAGCAACAATCTAAAAGGATTTATAGATAGGGTGTTTTTCTAGCATAAATTCCATGTGGAATTTAGGTGCTCATCTTGGTAACTCCATTCACAATTTAGTTTATAATATAAGAAAGCCTGAGCTATTAGAAAGTTGTTAGCCATTAATGCATAATTTTTCAGCTCCATCTCTGAAATAGGAAATAGTGGTAATTAACCCAGCAGTTTGCTAAAAACATGCACTTTGGGTTAAAAGCATTAAATGTGGCATACTTGCAGAGATAATACCTAAACATTATCCGATATGGAACTACCCTCCAGTTTACTCCTGTTGTGAAATAAATTAACTTCTTTTTTTGTACTGATGCTTGATTATAAAAGCCAGCTACACTGAGAGGCTGTTCCTAATAGTGACTGTAGTGCTCAAACACAGATGACAAATTTAAAATGTATTTTCATAGACAGTAAATGCAAAACAAGGCACATGCATGTCAAGGTGTAAGTGGAATATTAAGCGTAATGAAGTGTCAAAACAATCCTATGTTCTAGTCATTAATATGTTTCATTACAGTCTTCTCTCTACATTTATCTCTTAATATAGTGCAACCTTTTCAATTTAAAATGTGTCACTTTTTTGTGGGCCACCAGGGGGCAGTGCTTACTGGGTTCCATATAAAAAAAAAATAGTTCCGTTAGTAAATGGAGTTTATATGCTCTCCCTGTGTTTATGTGGGTTTCCTCCAGTTTCCTCCCAGACATGCTGGAAGGTTAATTGTCTTCTGGTGAGAGTGAGTGTGTCTGTGACTGTGACAGTGTAGCCTCCTGTCCAGGGTGAGTCCCTCCGTGTCTCATTGCTTGCCAGGATAGGTCCCAGCTCCCCCTTGACCCTGTGCTGGTTAACGTGTTTTGAAAATGGATGGAAGTTGTACGTTTATCATGGGTCAATGTGTAGTGTGCCATAGACTTTATTGTCAATTTACAGTATATGCCCAAGACCACATTGCTCCTATTCAGCAAAGAAGACCATATTTGCATATTTAAAGACCTAACTTGCATGTTATGTGTACTCAATAAAAGCTTTTGCAGCACTGATTGTAAAGTTAAATGTATCACTTATATCACTTATCTGTGTACTAGCAACTACCTGATGTTGCTATTCATCAGACAAAGATGTCATTATAGACACTGAAGTTGCAAGAGTAGCTTAATTTGCTCTATGAACCATAATGAAAACTATATACTGTACATGCATGAGTATGAAGAAGAAAAATAGAATATTTTGAAAAGTCATCTTAACAAAACATAAAGAGGTAACATTTGGATATGTTAATTTCTATAGCAGCACCAGTTAACCCCCCCCAAACCTGGGGAGAACATACAAACTCCGAACACACAGCACCCCAGGAATACCACCCAGGACAGCAACGCTGACCACCACGACACCGCGCATTGCCAGCTAAACATTTTGCATTACAAAACGCATGTTGTACTTCACACCTTCCAAAGAGAAACAAGACATATTTATTTTTCCTGATGTTGTAAGAGAAAAATGACCATCTCTCAGTGTGTGTCTTCCTATCAGGTTATATAAAGTTGTTCGCTATAATGGGGTCTTTGCAATTCAGTGCTCCAGGACAAAAACGCCAATACTGTGTGCTATTTAATTAGTTCTGATTTACATGAATCAATATTATAAAAATAAAGTCTTATTTACTCTTCCTGTGGTCAGATCCAGTTATGTATTTTTATACAGTATATACAGTATGTGCAACGTATATCCCTTGACCTTGTTTAAACTACCAGCAGACTGTTTAGTTCATGTAGATCAGCTATGACTGAGGAATAATTCTAATGCTAACTTCACATGAACTTGCCAAAGGAACAGCGATATGTTTAAAAAGTTCGGTTCTGGTACTGCATGTTTTTTAACTGTCGTAATGGAGGCAATTCATTTTTTGAGCAACATTCCATATAGCGTCCCCTGGGTCTGTTACTCTTCCCAATTACTGTGCAGTTTTCTTCTGTGCTTTCATTGCAGGACACAGACCTCATAATGACATTCAACATCTCCATGCATCGGTCTTGGTGGATGGAGAACGGCCCTGGCTGTAGGGTGACGGCAGTGACACCTCCTCCTCCCTGGGCACCTGAGGATCATCGGTATATCAGCATCTCAGGATGTGTGCTGGAATATCAGTATGTAGAAGTGGCTCAGAGCTCTCTTCAGATTATTCTCGCAGTAAGTACTTTCTATGTCCCACGTATAAATCTGAAAATCAATATAGTACCCTCCTGTAACAGGGCAGCTGTTGTTTTAAGGGGTTTTAGCATCTGGGAAAGAGCTATAAATCATTAAAGTCAAATTTTCAAGGGTTATTTCGAGAGATCAGTGTGGGTGTGTTCACACAAGTTATGGACGTCCATTGTCACGTGAGATTTGCCAGGCACTCTGCTCCACCTTTTGCTGATTCACAGTTTTTTAAATAGGCTGGAGGGTGGACACTGAGACAAACACAGGGTCGTCTCGTTAACTTCAGTGTCTCGGGATGACACTCTTAGTTGCCTCCCAGTGACGACTGGCTAGATTTTGGTTCAGATCAATCTCTCGGTTCTGGGTTATATTAGATTCAGGTTATATAAATTTTCAATTCCTATCATTTAAAGGTGAAATATTCCCATAATGAAATTAATCTGATGCAGAATGGATTGAAACACCAGCATCTGTAGTGAAATGTGTTGAAGACTCACTGCTGTAATGTGTCCCTTGTTTAAGAACTAAAACAATATTCAAATAGTGTATAATGCTCAGAATCAAAAGCAAAAATAATTCCCTTTGAATTTTGAGAAATTGATCTTTTTGCTGAGATAATACATGATAATATGTATATTACTATAGAAGAAAATATAACAATTCTGTATTGATAAAAGCAAAACAGGTGGGTTTTATCAGCTGTTAAACTATCCTGTGTCGTGTTTATTTTTAACCTTATTTAAGCTATGTCCTGCTTGAAGGTCTTTTCTCCATACCTTCATTATTAAATCTAAACTGTCAGTTTCATCCTACAGAATACATCAAGGGTCCATCTGTAGGAATTTACTAAAATATTTCCAACAGTCTCTCAAGGCAGGGGTAATACCCACTGACTGGAAAATGACAAAAATAGAATCCTTCCATAAAAAGGGGTATAAAACAGTATCAATTATAGACCAATAGGTCTTAATTCTATTAACATGCCATGTTGTGGAAACAAGAACTAGAATATAATCTCTATGGCAATACGATTCTAAGGCATAGTGAACATGAATTTAAAAAAGGTACTGTAGGTCTTGCTTAACTAACTTGTTACCGTTCTTTGAATAAGCCACAGGTGGAAATCATGCAAAACAAGCATTATATATTGTATACAGTGCCCTCCAAAAATGTGTTCAGAGAGCAAAGTCAAAACAGCATAGTCAAAACTTTGTCATTGTTTATACAGTCAAGCAATTTGTATATATGTGATCATGATAATAATATGAATGATAATACATAGTATTTATATGTTTGGGTAATTCTATGCAGACATTTGATTGTACTACAACAAACAGGAAAACAAACATTGTGGATGTCAAGTGACCATACATAGTATGTTTCAGGATTTCAGAGTGTAAAAGTCAGGATTTAGCAGCATATTCCTTTGAGACAATAGCAGTATAATAGTGTTCCATTGAGCTTGCTAAACTCTTTGTGTGTTCATTGGAGATGGGTTGTCAAGCCTTTGCTGTACCCTCTTTGGGATATTCTGATTTACCAGAAGACAAGGCTTTTTATACTGTATATTATCATGTGATAAGACACTTTCAAAGTGTTAAAATAGTTTCTGTCTACCTTAAAGAAGCTGACTTCCCTAAGAAAAAGAGGTCTCGGTAGGATTTGATTTTATTAACGATCTCATAACATTTGTCCCGTCTATGATCAATTCCAAATACTTGCAATCTTTGACAACCTCTACAGTCTGATCATTTTTCACAGTGCATGTGGGGCACTACATTTTTACTAAAATCGATGATTAGCTCTTTTGTTTTCAAAACGTTTAGCTCCAAAGATAATGCATTGTACCATTTTATAAAATCATTTAGAATGAGCCCAAGATAATACTCGGGGTTCTATGATAAGCTGAGTAGGGCTGTGTTGGCAGAAAATTTAATATATTTTGTTATGTTTGCTCTTGCAATACTGTAGTGTACAAAATACACAATAATGGGGAGAAGACACAGTCCTGTGGTGATCCAATAGAATTGATGCATCACCATTTCCCCATTTTGAGCTGTTGAATCCTGTTTGTTAAGAAATCTAGAATCAAATGACCCTTTCTTTTGAAATTCTTTGAATGTTTCTCTGCTAGTAAGAGTGGGGGATTGAAATCAGACAAAAAAATAAAAAATAAGATCCTGACATAAGAATGTCTTTCCTTCCTCAAAATGCTGGTAGAACTGTTAAACAATTTGTGCAAAGTGTCATCTACTCTCCTCCTTTCCCTGTGTGCAAACTGCAGGGGGTCAGTAAGGTTCAGTGTGCTCTTTGTAATGTGCTGTTTCACTAAGTTCTCCAGAAATGTCATTGGGAGAGATGTGAGAGTCACTGGCCTGTGACATAGCTTTTAATAGTGAACTGTTAAATTCACTCTGCCAGGGATTTTTAATGGGAAAATTTAAGGGCATCTGAAAAATCTGACTACAAATGTTCTACAGTTGTTCTGCTCAGATGTAAATAACTCTGCCATACACATTATCTGAGCCTGTACTCTTCCCTTACATTGTTCTTCCTGAGTAGTCTACACACATTTGCTTTGTCAATCTTAATAAACTCCTCTGATTCAGATAATTCAGCACTGTGCTCTGAGGTAGTTATAATTGTAGTTTTAATTTAAAATGGATATAAAACAAATTGAAGTCATTTCATACTTGTTGATTATCCGTGTTGTTTCAGACGGTATCAGCATTGCCCTTCTGGGAAATACTGACCATGGATTTAATGCCCTGACATTACAATCATGCACTCTGTTTGTTCCCTATACTGATCTTTAGCATTGTCCAATAAGCATAGTATTTTTGTTTTTCAATTAGCAGACCAAATGTCTCTAGAAACTTTAGAATTCATTCTTCAGCTGCCATCTTTCATTACATCATCAAAAAGACCAACGAGCCAATCCAGTCCAGGCTTTTCAGAAGAGATGGTGCTCTTAGGAGCGTCAACAGTTTTTTTTTCTCCTCTTTAATAATGTGTTTATAGTTTGTCTTCTTACACTTTCTTTGAGTATGAAGAAGCTCCTTAAGGAAAAAAAAGGCTTAGGTGTCTGTGTTGATACATCATTTTCATTTTCCAGGCAATGTGGGAAGAAATAAAAATAGAATATATAGTTAAAAGTGTATAAGTTAAATCAGGGTATGTTATGGTAAAACTGTGAATTGTACCTGTAAAACCTCTTTAAGAATGATTAATACAACTTTGGTCTCCAAGATACAAGATAAAATACAAGAATGATAGTGCTGCTCTAGAAGCACAATTACACACATTTCTGAGCTCAAAGGAATGTTGTTCGCTGACTGTGTAAAAGTACTAAGAAGTTTCAGTTCTGAAACTGAGAACCCGAGGCACATTTTACATAAACATACAAAGGTTGTGGGAGCACAAAACAAACTGCTCAGCCATGGTGTTGAAGCTTATATTCCGGCTTCCTTCAGGAAATGGTTGGGTGAGATACGTGGATCGATTAGCTCCTATAAATAAAACGAATGAGTTAGATGGGCTGAATGCATGTAAAAGTTCTTACATTCACTAATGGATCTTTCATTTCCATTACCAGCACTATAACACAGAAACATCTTCCAATAAATTTTTGTTCATTGACCTAGAAACACACGTGAGGGCAATATACTACGAGTTAGTTAATGTATCTGAACGTCTTAGGTGGTAATGGGGACATTTTTCCACATCAAGATTGTTCTATCTAGAAATGTTTGAGTATGAATGAATGGTTATGAACAATCTGTGTATGCAGAGTAAATGACAACGTGCTGAAATATATGTTCCTTAAAGAACTCCAGAGACTATGTGGAGCTCAATTTACAATGCAATTTACAATCAATCATCAGTTATGATTTATGTGTAATGATTTTTTTTAAGTACTCCTTACTCCTTGTGGACGTGGGACCTCTGTTTTATGTGAAAAAGATAAAAATAAATACCAGCCCAAGACCTCACAGCTAACATGCTCGTGTTTAGCAGCTTTCATTGACCAACAAGACAACTATGAAAACCCCACCCACCCTTAATAAGGTGGCTCTAGGAACTCAAGGAGTCAAGGACATAAAATCCAGCAACGGCTGTGGGAGTACAGTCAGTCAATTAACTAGTCAACACCAGTGAAGCTGTAATTGTTAGGGGCCCACTGGGAGTCTTTAGACAACAGTTTCTTCATTACCTCCCTCTCTGCTCAACCCAATGGAAAGAGCATCATCCTCCTGCCAGACAAAGGACAGGCTGGAGGGAGACCATGCAAGAAATCGTTCCCCTGGATCAAATGTCCTTCTCCATGAAGATTCATGTTCGGGTGACTGTTGGGGGTCTACAGGTAAGTACCCTCTCTTGATCGCATGGACCAGGCAGTGGGTCGAGGTTCCTTCCCCTTTGGGTGAGGACTGCAATGCTGTTGTTCAGGCGACATTCTCCCCCTCAGTATGAGGATGTAGAAATGACCTGGCAATATCCTTTCCCTCTGCTAGGGTTTTTGGGACAGGACCTGTTGATGACTAGGCCCTGCTCTTTCCCTCCTCTGGGTTTGTGAAATAAGAGCTCTCTCCCACTGCTTCTGAAGAGTTGGCTGGGGTCTTTTTCTCCATTTTCCCTTTTTCACACACTGGCTGGTCTTCACTTCCAGCTCTGTGATGGACATCCTGGAGTTTTTCAGCTCAGTCTGGAGACTCCAACTCATCGCTCACTCTTTCAGATGCTTCAGAGCGCACCTTTCCTCTTAACCTGGCTGGACTGCGCCTGACTAATCTAGGTCTCACGGGCGAGCAGTCCAGATTCTTCCTCTGATGATTGTTAGCCTGCGGTGCCTCACATCCTCCTCATCTCAGGTCAGTTTGGTGCACTCCTGAAGCATTTTCCCCAGCTCTGCACCATGCTGGCCCTTTTGTGTATTCCTATGGAGGCTATATAATAAAAGTGGCATTTCCCCAGTTCAGAAAGTACCA